GCTGTAAGAGAAAAGAAATGACCAAAAATTCACACAGTTTGTAACAGGTAGCCCTGGACTTATAGCAGTTCCTTTAGACAGTTTGAAGTGACATAACACCCCCAATGACCACAACCGAGCTTGGAATTACAGTTTGTAAATCGTGCCGGATGTTAAACAAGTCATCACATGACCGATCCAACTGTATGATGATTATTTTTTTCCCAGAGTCATTATGTGAATCTGGTCGGAAGATTGCCTCCAATTTTACAGCCTTTTTTGCCATGATTAAGTGAGTCACTGCGGTTAAGCGAACGACACAGTCATTAAACAAAGCTAGGTCCCACTGTAAACACCTGCCGGTTACCAAGCACTCAAATTTTGATCAAAGTGACAACGGGGGTCACTGTAATAATCGTAAATGCAAGGGCTGGTCGTAAGTCACTTTTTCCAGCACCGTCGTAATTTCAAACAGTCACTAAATAAATGCTCGTAAATCCAGGATTACATAAAAATACCGTTTTGTTCACTCAAATCTGTCACTGCGGTTTCTGCATCCAACCCCAAACAAAACTTTGCTCCTTTTCTTTGGATATTCTTCTCCTTCCAGCCAAATGCTCCCCGACGTGTCAGAAACTCACCCCCAAGGCCATGAGGTGGGCTAGTCCAAATTTTGGTACGTTCCTAGCCCACAAGGGCTTGAAATGGTCCGTCAGGCATATCTTGCCTCCCCTATAAGGAAAAAGAGAGTGTGCCAAATTTTAAGAAAGCGCAATTGACAGAATAGCGATAGTACTTATATATCGCTTTACAGTGCTTTTACAGCCCTCTGTAAGCGGTTTACAGAGTCTTGCCCCCAATAATCTGGGTCCTCATTTTAATAACCTCGGAAGGATGGAAGGCTGAGTCAACCTTGAGCCGGTCAGGATTGAAATTCCTGGCTGTGGGCAGTTAGTGCAATTTGCCTTCTAACAGGAAGGAAGGAAGGGAGGGAGGGAGGGAGGGAGGGAGGGATCAGAGGAGGAGGAAGGAAGGAAGATAGCAATAGCACTTAAGACTTCACAGTGCTTTACAGTCCTCTCTAAGCAGTTTACAGAGTCAGCATATTGCCCCCAACCATTTGGGTCCTCATTTTACCCACCTCAGAAGGACGGAAGGCTGAGTCAACCCTGAGCCTGGTCAGATTCACACTGCCAAATTGCAGGCAGCCGGCAGTCAGTAGACATAGCCTGCAGTACTGCACTCTAACCACTGCGCCACCCTGGCTCAGAATAAAGGCGATCTCGTCGGCATTAGATCAAGTACTTCCATCGAAGATGGATTTGAAGCCCAAAACTCACCTGTACATTTTGGCTGTTTTGCCATCCAGTTCTGGAATCGCGATTTCTGGTGCAGTAGATGGATAAGTAATTGGAATCTGAAAAGGAAACAATGGCATGTAATTCTTAGGGGGAAAAGTCCCAGCAAGATGGAGGAGGAGAGACCAGAAATACAAATTAATTCAGAAAAATAAGAGGGGAGGGGAAAAAAGGAATAAGAAAATGTCAACTAACACGCAGGGTAAAACTCACATCAAACTCAACCGCAAATTCATATTTCAAGAGATTGTGGATGTACCAGCACTTCCCAAACCACCTACAGAGAGGAAAACGGAAAGAGAAAAAAGAAATAAGGCACTTTTTAAATATATACAAGCCACTTTTTTATATATATGCAAGTATCCTCGACTTACAACAGTTCATTCAAAGTTACAATGGCACTGAAAAAAAGTGACCTATGACCATTTTTCACACTTAAAGACAGTTGCAGCATCCCCACCGCCACATGATCAAAATTCAGATGCTTTAATTTTGTTGGTTCATATTTATGACGGTTGCAGTATCCCGGGATCATGATCCCCTCTTTCAACCTTCTGACAAGCAAAGTCGAAGGGGAAGACAGATTCACTTAACAACCACGTGGCTACCTTAACAGCTGCCGTGAACCACTGTGGCAAGGAAGGTCGTAAAACGGGGGCTTAACTCACTTAACAACCGTTTTGCTTAGCAACAGAAATTTTGGGCTCAATTGTGGTCATACACCGAGGACTACCATCCAATTTTTTTTTTAAATAAAGCAAAGGGAGATTTCTGGATGTCAGAATTGGTCCACTTGCTCCATTTGAGCCATGCCAAGCACCGAATCTGGAAGCTTGAACAGATGCATGGTATGGGAGCAGCTCTGTAGCAGACAAAAAAGCTCTACAGAGAATCATTAAAACTGCCCAGAATATCATCGGACTCCAGCTACCAACCCTGGACGAGATCTTCGAATCTCGCTGTTTGAGGAAGTTGCATAACATTCTCAGAGACTCTTCCCATCCTGCTTACAATCTTTTTGGACCTTTGCCTTCCGGCAGAAGATACAGAACAATAAAAACTCAGACCACGTGTCTTCTGAATAGTTTTTATCCCAGAGCTATAATTGCACTCAACAATGAACTAAAGGGCCACCATCTGTGAGCTGTTGGACAGCATTACTT